GGACCGGTCCACAGATGAAAAAAGTTTCTGACCCCTGCCTCAGATGATGATCACATGTCAGAAGATGATCACATATCAGGAGCGAGCCAACAAAAGATCACATGGAGTAAGTGAAGTTAACTCTTGATTAGACTGCCAGACCCACTGAGCACAGCAACTCTTCTTGGTAGGTCGTGTCCCTATGAGGCACTTGCTAAACCTGAAGGCGCCTGCCTTCTCACAGCTGCCTAAGTCTTCTCCTCTCCTCGGTCCTTCCCAAGTAATCTGAGACGACACCGATGTGCCTGCCTTGCTCTTCCCACATGCAGCATACCTGCTCCTTCAGAGGGAGTGTAACCCCACCAATCCGGTCTAGGGACATGCCCACTAACAGTGCCTCAGCCTTATCTGGACTGAGCTTCAGTTTGTTGGTTCCCATCCAGCTGGTTTTTATCAGCCAAGACGGTCCAGGGTCCAGAGACAAGTGGTCGTCCTGACCGATCCATGCACAATGTTCACATTCTGTGCTGTGTGCCCCTAACCTGGCCTGCCCCACTCCTGACACCATAGCTCCCCTTGCCCAGAACCAGTGCAATTGGCCATCACTGCTCTCCCTGGCTCATCTCCTTGCAGGCACATCTGACGTCCCTTAATTTATACAACAACAAAGCCAATTTGAAATCACACAGCTTAAAGAGCAGTTTAAAACAATTAGGACAATAATAACAGCCACTGAACCTCCCTACAAAACCCCCTAAATAATACCCCAACCCAAGCATCTGTTCAGTCATTCCAGCTTTTGTAGCTGGAGTCAGTCCAGGTTCTGCCCACCAGGCCAGGTCTTCCAGGACTCACAGGACTCACTACACAGTGTGGTGTAGTGGTTCAGAGCGGTAGTCTCGTAATCTGGGGAACTGGGTTCGCTTCCCCGCTCCTCCACATGCAGCTGCTGGGTGACCTTGGGCCAGTCACACTTCTCTGAAGTCTCTCAGCCCCACTCACCTCACAGAGTGTTTGTTGTGGGGGAGGAAGGGAAAGGAGAATGTTAGCCGCTTTGAGACTCCTTAGGGTAGTGATAAAGCGGGATATCAAATCCAAACTCTTCTTCTCTTCTTCATAGCCAAGCTAAAATATCATGAAAAGTTCTGCCATAAAAGCAGCAGCAGTGTTACACCATTAATTCCTGATTGTAGGTAGGCATTCATGCTAATATATCAGGGCTGCCATACACCCGGAATTTCCCTGACATAGCCGGGATTTGGCCCTTGTAAACAGCATCTAGGTGAAAACTGCTTAAATGTGCATGAAAATCCGGACATGAAAATGTCGGAAGTGAATATTTTGGCAAATTTACTTAGAAATAGCTCAAAACTTCTTTTTTATGATTTTGCAAAAAACAAAACAAAACAAAAAGACTCAACAACTTTGGCCCAAAATTTATAAAGCTTGACAACTTTTGGGTCTACCCTATAATATATAAAAGAACAAAGGTGTTTTCAGGCATTTTGGTCCCTGAGACAGAACATCCAGAGGACTCTGACCCACTGCCTCTGATGAACATGAAATACTGTCCACCGAGAAGTTCTCCTGCACAATCTTCGTGAAATGAACATGAGCCGGTGAAACAGCACTGCTCAGCTCTCGCAGAGCTCCTTCTGTTTCAGTGGCGCTTATGTAGGAGAACTTCCTAGCAGATCATCCCTCCTGGCTCAAGTCTTTGTTTCCACCCTTCTACCCATAATGGAATCCCAAATCCCTGTTTGTGGCAGATTCATCTTTGAAAACATGTGTTACAGGATCACTGCAGCAAATAATGAGTCCCAGAGCTCCCCGTGGCTCAGCTCTAAGCCTGTTTTGGACGTCAGTGATCAGATGTGAGGCATACTGAATAATTTTCACTTTGGTCAAAAACTAAACAAAACCAACAGCAACATTCTTTTTATGTCGAGGAAGGGAAAGGTCAGACATGTGTGTATAAAGATACCAGATAAAAACTTCAGAAACAACACTTATTAATTCCTTGTTTTGGCCTTGTACATAGCATTTCAATGCCAGGCACAGTTGTACCTCGGGTTAAGAACTTAATTCGTTCTGGAGGTCTGTTCTTAACCTGAAACTGTTCTTAACCTGAGGTACCACTTTAGCTAATGGGGCCTCCTGCTGCCGCCGCACAATTTCTGTTCTCATCCTGAAGCAAAGTTCTTAACCTGAGGTACTATTTCTGGGTTAGCGGAGTCTGTAACCTGAAGCGTCTGTAACCTGAAGCGTCTGTAACCACAGGTACCACTGTACTGAGGAGGAGTTTATTTCATGTATTTCTTAAAAAGTGATTTCTGTGCCTTCCTTCACCAAGAATGGCAACAAAATAAGGCAATATAAAACACAGAAAACAGAAACATTAAAATCATTATGAATAAATCACATACTTAGCCACACATTAAACCTCGCTTTGCAGCCCTCACCCAATAAGACGAAGCTATTGCGAAGTATGGAACTAAGTGTGAGTTTGCACAATTAAAGACCTACATGGAGGTTGCTTTCCTCATCTGTATCCCATGTGGGTCTTTGAATGTTTGTGCTGAGCTCCATGTGGGGAAAATAAACTGTTGTCTTGAAAGTCTTCTCACAGGGTTATGCCTTTGAGGCTTCCTGTGTGGTTGCTGGTTTGTGTATCAGAAGTGCAGCCCAGTCCCACAGAACTGGAAAGGGTTTTCCCTACCTACAATGGAGAAGGCAGGCCTGGGCCTTTTCCGTGGCGCTCGGCTTGTTTCTTCAAATGGATGGTGCTTTGTCAAATGTTCTGCTGATCCCACAGACAACACCATAGCACCATGGAAAGTGAGAGATTTCAAGCAACACAGCATGTTTCCAAAACAGAGAAGAGCAGAGATGCAGTTTGATTCCCGCCAAGTTTACCTGGGTGTAAGTCCTGCCAACTTTAATGATAAATATATATGTGCAAATTTTGCAAACTTGTCCAAGGCTCTTTTGCTTGCCCATGAGACACACCCACCGCAGGCAACCTTGCCAGAAATAAGATGTGGTCTTTCTCCCAATTTCACCAGGTACCCAGGACAACCTTTGGCTAATTAAACCATCTATGGCCTTTTAAGCTCTCTCTCTCTCTCTCTCTCTGTGTGTGTGTGTGCACAGTAGGGGTTTATTTTATTTTTTTTGTTTTTATGTTACGTACTTCTGCGTTTTCATGTCATCCTTGAATGAACGGTGGTGTATAAATTAATAAATAGTAATAATAATGTAGAGCAGCAGCGTGGTCTTTTACCTTTTATTTGGAAGAAATTGTTTCATTTAACTGGGACGCGGGTGGTGCTGTGGGTTAAACCACAGAGCCTAGGACTTGCTGATCAGAAGGTCGGCGGTTCGAATCCCCGCGACGGGGTGAGCTCCCGTTGCTCGGTCCCTGCTCCTGCCAACCTAGCAGTTTGAAAGCACGTCAAAGTGCAAGTAGATAAATAGGTACTGCTCCAGCGGGAAGGTAAACGGCGTTTTCCGTGCACTGCTCTGGTTCGCCAGAAGTGGCTTAGTCATGCTGGCCACATAACCCGGAAGCTGTACGCCGGCTCCCTCAGCCAATAAAGCGAGATGAGCGCCACAACCCCAGAGTCGATCATGACTGGTCCCTTTACCTTTACCTTTAATTGTTTCATTTAGAAATGGTGGAGTCCCATACATTTTATAGCGTCTTAGGGTGCAAAAATAGGACATCAGAATGTGACCATTGCTAACAATAAAGGTTCTGTTACATTCCCAAGACCCTCCTCCCCTTCGGTTGGTGGTCCTCTGAGGTGCGGTAGGGGGGCCAACACACAGCCGGGTTCTACGGAAGTTTCTTTGGATGTGGTTCCTACTGAGTGTGATGGGATTTAAATTTAGGATTACTGCTTCGAACCAACCACGCGGATGCAAGGAAGGAAGAGCGAAAGAGCATAGTCTAATCCAAACAGAAATAGGAGTGCAATGGCTTTATCAAGACCCAGGTGAAAGACTTCTGGGAAAAGATATATAACGAATTGAAAAAAATGTTGAAATATACATTTATAAAGAAACCAGAGGCTTTTCTTCTTGGAATAACAGGTTTGGAATTGCCCAAGAAAGATGTTAAATTATTTTTGTATGCCACAACCGCTGCTCGTATTTTGTTAGCTAAAAAGTGGAAAACCCAAGAATTACCAACGATAGAAGAATGGCAGATGAAGATGATGGATTTTTCGGAGCTAGCCGACCTAACCAGAAGAGTCCGCGACCAGAAGGAGGAGGAGTACCAGGAAGAGTGGAATAAATTTAATGATTACCTTACTTAGTTAAACATGTTAAGTTAAACTAACTGAAAACAGCTTGCAGATACTTAATTGTTTTAGGATTTTATTTATGTTAAGTGATCAATTAATACGTTTAATTTCATAATGTGAAGATCTAAGGATGCTAATGTTTAAGTTAAATTATTTTAAGAACTGTGATTTAGAAAACCGTTAAAAGGACATGCAAAGAAATTCAACCAAGGGGAAGCGAGGAAGTCACTTAACAATGTTAATAAGTGTAGTTTTCAATAAGGCTATGGTTTATGTTTGCTTGTCGTATGTGTTTGTTTGTTTATAATGTGAAAACCAATAAAAAAAATTTGGAAAAAAAATTCAAACGAGCGGGCTGGATTTTGGCTTCCACACAAGCCCCCTCCCCCGCTCCAAGTGAAAGGAGAAAAGTGAAAGCGGGGGGGGAGGGAAAAGGGGAACCTCTCCCCCCCCGAAGGCGATTCTGAAGTTCTCCAGCCGGGCGCAGGAGCGGATGATCCGCGACAGCGTTGCTGCTGCAGCTGCTGCTCCTCGACGGCTCTCCACCGGGGTTTGCGCAGCGTCCACGACAAGCAGCCGTCGGCTTTGCCGCCTCCTGGCCGGGCTTCCTCGGCGGGAGCGCGCTGCCCTCCCTGCCCGTCGGGGCGGAGCCGGTCCCGGCTGGGCGTCGCCGTCGGGCGAGCCTATAAAGGCCCCGTCGGGCGGCGCTGCGCTCCGGGCGGCAGTTTGGGCGCGAGCGCGCGGAGATGCGGCGCGCCAGCCGAGACTACGCCAAGTACTTGCGCGGCGCCGAGGAGCCGGAGGGCGCCCCGCCGCTGCCTTCCCTGCCCGCGCCGCCTCCGCCGCCCAGCGCGCAGCCCTCCGCCGCGCCCGCCTCGCGCTCGCTGCTGGCCGCTCTGGCGCTGCTGGGCCTCGGCCAGGTGGTTTGCAGCATCGCCCTCTTCCTCTACTTCCGAGCGCAGGTAAGCGGGGCTCCCCGGCCAGGGATGCGCGCGGGCGCCCCGACGGCGCGCGGCTCCCGGTGCGCTGGGCGGTGGCGGCTGCGGGGCTTGAGCGCAGGTCCCAGGGGAAGGCTGACCATCAGGTCAATGGCTTGTTGTTGTTGTTGTTTAGTCGTGTCCGCCTCTTCGTGACCCCATGGACCAGAGCACGCCAGGCACTCCTGTCATAGCTGTCAATATTTCCCCCTTTTTAAGGGAAAGTCCCTTATTCCGAATAGGATTCCTCGCAAGAAAAGGGAAAAATCGACAGCTATGACTCCCGTCTTCCACTGCCTCCCGCAGTTTGGTCAAACTCATGCTGGTAGCTTCGAGAACACTGTCCTACCATCTCGTTCTCCGTCGTCCCCTTCTCCTTGTGCCCTCCATCTTTCCCAACATCAGGGTCTTTTCCAAGGAGTCTTCTCTTCTCATGAGCGGCCAAAGTATTGGAGCCTCAGCTTCAGGATCTGTCCTTCCAGTGAGCACTCAGGGCTGATTTCCTTCAGAATGGATCGGTTTGATCTTCCTGCAGTCCATGGGACTCTCAAGAGTCTCCTCCAGCACCGTAATTCAAAAGCATCATTTACTCGGCGATCAGCCTTCTTTATGGTCCAGCTCTCACTTCCATACATCACTACTGGGAAAACCATAGCTTTAACTGTACGGACCTTTGTTGGCAGGTGATGTCTCTGCTTTTTAAGATGCTATCTAGGTTTGTCATTGCTTTTCTCCCAAGAAGCAGGCAAGGTCAATGGCTAGCTTGGGCCAAAAGGGGCTGATGCGCCGTTGGGTTTGTGTGTGTGTTTATAAACCCTCAGAAAAGCACATGTAGCTTTTTATTTTTAACAAAACGTTAAAATTCACTGCTTGTTGAATAGTGCCTGTTTAACTGGAACGAGGATGAGGTTGGTTTCAGGCAACGTTACTCCGTGGTTGTGGCTGCTGTCGAACTTGAAGGTGACAAGTTCAAGCTTAATATTTCATAGAATTGTAGAATTGGAAAGGACCAGAAGATCATCTAGTCCATGGGTAGGCAAACTAAGGCCCAGGGGCCGGGGCTGGCCCAATCACCTTCTCAATCTGGCCCGTGGACGGTCCAGGAATTAGCATGTTTTTACATGAGTAGAATGTGTCCTTTTATTTAAAATGCATCTCTGAGTTATTTGCTGGACCTGCCTGGTGTTTTTACATGGTAGAATGTGTGCTTCTATTTAAAATGCATCTCTGGATTATTTGTGGGGCATAGGAATTCATTCTTTCCCCCACCTTCAAAATATAGTCCGGCCCCCCCACAAGGTCTGAGGGACAGTGGACTGGCCCCCTGCTGAAAAAGTTTGCTGACCCCTGATCTAGTCCAGTCCCCAGCAATGCAGAAATTAAATTTGTCCCATAAGGGGATCAAACCTGCAGCCTTGGCGTTATCAGCACTGGGCTCTAACCAACGGAGCTTAAAAAGATGCATCCAACCGACAAGCTTCACAGCTTTCCATTAAGTCGGGAAAGGGCAGAGGGAAGAAGGAGCTGCTTTTTATCATTCTGCGACTGAGAGCTTTAGGAAGCCCCGTGCATGGAACTTCAGCTTTGATTTTTCTGATCAGTTTGGTAACTCATGATTAGAAACTGGAAGGGGATAATGGCTGCCATACAGTTGGAAGCGAGCTGCTTAGATGTTTTGGAAACTGGAAAGACAGAGATGTAAATGTCTCATGGAAAAATAATAACCTGGTGATTGCTGGTGAACCTTAGCACTGAAACCGTGTGGCTGTCAACTCAAGCTCAAGGTAGCAATCCACTTTAATACAATTGTGATTGGTTACTGTGGGGCTGGGATTGTGCCCAGACATGGATCTAGTAACTTTCTTAATGCAGAGAGAAAGCCAGCTGAAACTGATTCTTATTGCATTCACTTTGGGAAAGAGCTGGATTTTTAAGACTGGTATCTGTTAAACATTTTTTTATCTCTTAATCCTGGGAAAAGAATAGATACTGCTGAATAGATTCAAGAAGAGGGGTTCCAGAAATGCCTTATTTCGTCTCTGAAAGAGAGAACCTCACACCACAGAAATCTAGAAAATAAAGAGGGGTTTGTTGTGGGCAGCACAAATATATCTGCATTGCCGGGGTAGAGGAAGCTGCTTGTAGCATCGGCTTTCTGGTGGTTTATGCTGTGGTGCTGAAAAGATTTTTCTTTCTTTCTTGGAAATTACCCTGTGCATTGGTTGAGTTCGCTTTTTTTGTTGTTTTGGCTTAGCGTTCTGAAATTTCTCAAAGGAAGTTAGAGGCTGATGTTTGCTCTTATCTCCCCAGAGGTAGAAGCAAATTCTGGTTTTGGGTTTCTCTTTTCTTCCTGATGAACGAAACATTTCTTAGTAGTGCAAGGCAGTAATGCTGGACTGTAGAAATGTTTGTACAAATGTTATAGAATAAATGCAAGGGAGATTTCCCCCTTGGGATATTAAACAGCTTGCCTTACAACAAGACAAAATGCATAAATATTGGGATTCCACCCAGGTGGCTCCTTTTAAGCTTCAAATAACCACTCCAATCCAGGATGCGACCATTCTGCTGAAGCTAGGTAGTCTGGGTCTGGTCAGTACCTGGATATTTCAAGGAAAGCACCTTGAGCTTCATGGTGGAAGGAGCTCAAGAGGGGTGTACATGCCTCTTCTCCCCATTTCACCCTCACAACAACCATGTGAGGTAGGTTAGGCTTAGGGATTGTGGCCCTAGATTGCCCAGTGAGCTTCGAACCCTGCTTTCCCAGGTCCTAGTCCAACACTTTAACCATTATGCCAGGCTAGCTCTTGTATATCTTGGGTAGTCATCTGTTAGCTCATGTAAATCACTTCACTGAAACTTGCGGTCTTCACAGATGCGTCAATATCTTAAATGAAAAGTCCGTCCCCCGTGCAGTATTGGATTTCTGAGGACGATAATGTTGACTGTGCAACTGCATAGAACAGACCAGTGAGATGTATTAAGGAAGTAACCTGATGCCCCATCTGACTCAGTGGGGTTTACTTTTGAGTAAGGCTTCCCTTTATATGCCATGCTTCGGAATGGGCTGCAAGTATTTCTTAATCCGCTACAGCTTCCATTCACAAAACCCCTTTTAAGCCGCCAAGTGTGCAATTCCACCAGTGCCATACACATTGCATCTAGATTAACTGGCGGCCGCAAACCCAGGGAGTCAACATCTGGGTCCTGGAAAGACAGTTCAGTTGGGTAAGACAGCCTTGTGAATGCGGAATTGTCAAGTAGGTAATATTTTCTCATTGACAAAAAGCATTTGATAACTTAAAGTTGGAGTCTTTTCCTTTGGGCTTTCATTTAGTGCCTCGGAACACATGCAAACTGAACACCTGGTGTCACTGCGTTGCTGTAGCCCATGTGGTGCCGGCTGATCATTTTGGATGATGGCATTTCTAACTCCAGGCTGGCCGAAGCTGATGGCAGCTTTTGTCCAAAATATCTGCAGGGCATCATGCGAGCTCCCTCTTCTGCAGCCCGTTGGTTTTAATCCACAACTCTGCACATCGGGACGCGGGTGGCGCTGTGGGTTAAACCACAGAGCCTAGGACTTGCCGATCAGAAGGTCGGCGGTTTGAATCCCTGTGACGGGGTGAGCTCCCATTGCTTGGTCCCTGCTCCTGCTAACCTAGCAGTTTGAAAGTGCAAGTAGATAAATAGGTACCACTCTGGCGGGAAGGTAAATGGTGTTTCCGTGCGCTGCTCTGGTTCTCCAGAAGTGGTTTAGTCATGCTGGCCACATGACCCGGAAGCTGTACCCTGGCTTCCTCAGCCAATTAAGCGAGATGAGCGCCGCAACCCCAGAGTCGGACACGACTGGACCTAATGGTCAGGGGTCCCTTTACCTGCACATCAGCATTCTCCAGCTTCGTGCCCACAGACATTTGGGCCGCAACTTCCATCCTTGCTGATCCTTGGCCACACTCACTGGGGTGAAGGGAGCTGCAGTCTAATAAATATCAGGAGTATTTGCAGAGCTCGAGGCAAATCACTCTCTGTTGCTTTTGTTCCCCCCTACCCCCTCCTCCTCTTCCGGGGGATGGTGGCAGCACCCCCACCTGCCTTCTAGGCTTGTTTGGGCTGTTGCAACAGTGAAGATATTTCCCATTTTTTTTCTTTTGCAGGAGCACTGCCTCCAGGGTTCTCCCTCTCCTCCTCCTTCCTTACCTTGCTTTATGAAGAAAGGGGGTGGAAAGCCTGTCTGGGTGGCCAGAAAGTGTCCTGGCTGTCCTGGCAGTGCCTCCCCCCACCCCACATGCAAGGTTTAGGATGCTTGTCCTGATTCTCTAAGTGCCCTCGGGACAGTCCTGGGTACCAGTGTTTGGGGAAGGATGAGGTTCCGAGGTTCATATCTGATTAATTAAAACAACAACAACCCTATTTCCGAGGTGTGACTCTTTTTTCACCAGGACATTAAAATTGCACATTTGGGTTTGAATCTGGTTCAGTTCACTGGTACTTTTTAAAAACTCTGACCTTAAGCACTAACCTTAAAAAATGGTTTGTTTACTGGTGCGTCGGAATAATTTCAGACGGGTTAATACCGGCCTGAACGAGCTACGTAAAGATGAGCCACCAGACGTGAGTTGTGGCCTGGGCACTGTTTGCAGTGCCTTGTCTGTCTGGGCAGTTGCTGGCAGCTAGCCAAAGCAGACCGCTAGCCGAGTGCCTGGTTGGCTCAGCAGGTCAAAAGTTGTGCAAACTTGGCTTAATCACAGAGGTCTTGCCATTGGAATGCAAAGTTCATACAGTGAACAGTATTGTAACTTGGAGAAACGCTATCTGCGTTCCGTAATTTTATAGCTGTGTCTGTCATATTTGTCCACCAGAGCACAGAATGAATTTCTTTCTACATGATAGAAAAAGAGGTTGAGCTCAAATCACGTTTTTATTCGTTTTGGCTCTCCCAGCGTCAAATAACAGCCAACAAACCATTTATGCTAGTCTGTAGCACAGCCACATACAGAACCCCATGTGCTGTTAGGCTCGCCCCATCTCATAAAAATAGGGAACCGAGAAAGGAAGAGAGTGGCTGGTGGGAGAGACCTTTGTGACCTGGTTCTGCAGATAAGCAAGAGTCTGAGTCTTTTAAGTTGCCTCCCTAAGCATAGTTTAACTTCTGGAAGCCAAAGATGACCAACCAGCTTAGATGGCTTTACAGAAGATTAGAATCACCTGTGGTAGATTCATGCTCCATTAATGTCAACCGTATTTGAATGAAATATCCATGTTAAATGTATAAACAACAAGAGAAAGAAAGAAAGAAAAAGAAATTACTCATGTTAAGAGGCAAATGATGATGATGATTTTATTTTATTACTTTTCACCCTAAGGTCCTGGTGTGGTTTGCAACCATTTAAAATACAATATCAAAAACAGCTAAAAAAATTCGTAGCTAGCAGAAATATGCACTTTGGATGTTCATCTTTGGAAGAAGTTGAATATGGAACATTTAACTGCCAATACTGATCGCTTTTACCAGACCTCCAGGGGAATGTCAGCACTGGGTGTAACTGGGGCAGAGTCCACAGGTGACTGTTGGAAATAGTGTGCTAGAATGGAAAGACCCTGGCCTGAACTGGCAAGGCAGTTCTTAGGCTTTTATTTTCACTTTGTCTGAGATGAGGCACACTGATAAAATATCTAGGTCAGGCGTCCCGAAACTTGGCCCTCCAGCTGTTTTGGGACTACAGTTCCCATCATCCCTGTTAGCTAGGAATGATGGGAGTTGTAGTCCCAAAACAGCTGGAGGGCCGAGTTTGGGGATACCTGATCTAGGTAGAGACCTGAGTCCTGCCTTTACCACATCTCTCTTGGTTCTTGGAAATTTGCATACTAATTCAAATTCACGGTCTGAACTAGCCAGACATTTACTCAGTTCTTCATTTGGAGTAGAATTCTTGAGAAATTTCAGATTGGTCCACAGAGTCATTAGATTTTAGATTTTAACGATCTCTGTCCTCATCTGAGAGAGGCAGTATGTACAGGAGATGTGAGAACCAATACTCCAAATCCACTGTCCTTGTCCTGCTGCAAGGATGGGAATTTGTCATGCTCTTAAACATTCTGCTCATTTTTAGGTCCAAGCTGAAGGACTAGTGGCAAGGACTAGGGGCAGAGGGGATGAGACCGACGATAAGATTCCTGTCTTCAAGTGTCATCCAATGTGTCACTTAAGAATGGAAGGAAAGAAGGGAGTTGTTTTGGCACAGAGATGCTACCCATCAGTTTATGTGCATATTTCAATGTTTGTGCAGTTTAATGCTTCCTTCCATGTTAAATACGACTTGCTGGAGTATCCGTGATTCTTGTATCTTTGTCGTCAGTGTCTGGTCCCAAAAGTATACTGCATCTGAATTTATAAAGCATTTTGTTAACAGCTGCCTATCATTGTGACTTGTGCTCCATCATGTATGTTCCAGAAATCTAGAAAGCAACACAAGCTTGAAAACTCCAGGAGTTTCAGAAAACAACTGTAGTGTGGCAAGGCTACATGTGAACAGCATCTCTTGAACAGCCAAAATAATCTCCCTTCTCCATTTGGCAGCACTTAGATCAGGGGTCAGCAACATTTTTCAGCCATGGGCCAGTCCACCGTCCCTCAGACCATGTGGGGGGCCATACTATATTTTGGGGGGGAAATGAACGAATTCCTGTGCCCCACAAATAACCCAGAGGTGCCTTTTAAATAAAAGCACACATTCTACTCATGTAAAAACAAGCTGATTCTCGGACCGTCCACGGGCCGGATTGAGAAGGCGATTGGGCCACATCTGGCCCCTGGGCCTTAGGTTGCCTACCCCTGACTTAGATGCTGGCCCCGAAGCCCATTCAGAATATGTAGCCTTTTTCTGCCACCTCCACCACAGCTGCCTCAAGTTTAGCAACTTTTATCTGTTTCTCATGTTTTCTTTCATGTTTGATGCATTTTTCTTAATTTCACCAGTTGCCCAGTCTTTTGCAGGTTCTTACTATGGTTCAAATCCCCGCGACGGGGATAGCTCCCGTTGTTCGGTCCCTGCTCCTGCCAACCTAGCAGTTCGAAAGCACGTCAAAGTGCAAGTAGATAAATAGGTACCGTTCCGGCGGGAAGGTAAACGGCGTTTCCAAGCGCTGCTTTGGTTCGCCAGAAGCGGCTTAGTCATGCTGGCCACATGACCCAGAAGCTGTACGCCGGCTCCCTTGGCCAGTAAAGCGAGATGAGTGCCGCAACCCCAGAGTCGGTCATGACTGGACCTAATGGTCAGGGGTCCCTTTACCTTTACCTTTACTATGGTTCAAGTACAGAATATAAAATGTATTTGCCACCTGTTAGCCACCAAAACTTTCTGACATGCTTTTAACAACATACAACACTACATCTTTGGCTTTTGCTAATTATAATATTGATTATGATTGTTCACCTTTGGTTCAACAACTCCCCCCTTTTGCTATATTCCCTGTTTCCCAGTCTGCGGAAAGTTTACACACGCGACCTTAAACTGGTTGATGAAGTTTGGTAGCTAGCAAGCAACTCGTAAATCTTAATAAAATTATCATGAACATGTCTTGCTGAAGTTGTTAGCTAGATTGTGTTGCACAGATTTGTAGGCACATTTGTGGTGGCATCACTCACACGTCCCTCTGTTGCTGTCGCCTCCTGCCTGCCTGCCCATGCTGGGCTTCCGTCCAAAATGGCTTCATATGGATCTAGTAGATCTGATTTTAAGAGTTTGAGCCACAACCCTCCCCACTTTTTCCAGCTTGCTGTGGCTAGTTTAAAGCCCTTCCCTGAGCCAGCTGCAAAGTTGGTGATATTTTTTGAATGTATTGCTGTTGTTGTTTAGTTGTTTAGTCGTGTCCGACTCTTCGTGACCCCATGGACCAGAGCACGCCAGGCACTCCTGTCTTCTCCTGTCTTCCACTGCCTCCTGCAGTTTGGTCAAACTCATGTTTGTAGCTTCGAGAACACTGTCCAACCCTCTCGTCCTCTGTCGTCCCCTTCTCCTTGTGCCCTCCATCTTTCCCAACATCAGGGTCTTTTCCAGGGAGTCTTCTCTTCTCATGAGGTGGCCAACGTATTGGAGCCTCAGCTTCAGGACCTGCCCTTCCAGTGAGCACTCAGGGCTGATTTCCTTCAGAATGGATCGGTTTGATCTTCTTGCAGTCCATGGGACTCTCAAGAGTCTCCTCCAGCACCATAATTCAAAAGCATTAATTCTTCGGCAATCAGCCTTCTTTATGGTCCAGCTCTCACTTCCATACATCACTACTGGGAAAACCATAGCTTTAACTATATGGACCTTTGTTGGCAAGGTGATGTCTCTGCTTTTTAAGATGCTGTCTAGGTTTGTCATTGCTTTTCTCCCAAGAAGCAGGCGTCTTTTAATTTCATGGCTGCTGTCACCATCTGCAGTGATCATGGAGCCCAAGAAAGTAAAATCTCTCACTCCCTCCATTTCTTCCCCTTCTATTTGCCAGGAGGTGATGGGACCAGCGGCCATGATCTTAGTTTTTTTGATGTTGAATGTATAGTGGCATCAAACTTTTAAAGCATTACATATGTGGGTCCCCCTCCCCTTCCAGGATTTTTGAAGCCCAGATTTTGCACTGAATTCACTCTGTGTTAGAGCTTAGCTCCCTTCTTCAGGGCCATCTTGTAGCTTGAGGTCTTGGTTTATGAAAATCTTAACCACATGTGAAACCATACACCAGAGTGAAAAGTGCATGTTGTTATCTCAAACAGGAAACAGAATGGCCCTGTGAATCTCAACCAGGAAGCTGTGGTTGCTTACCTGTTTTTGTATTTTGCATGAGTAAGAGTTTTTACTGTGCTAGAGAAAGTGGAACATGGGTGAAACTCTGAGGACAGGTTCACACAGTTGTTTTCATGGACCCAAAACACTCTACATGGTTAACCTTGAGTACCCATGTCCGGTGATCCCACAGCAGTAGACGAATGCACTGCTTTCCATTGTTTTGTTTTATTTATGAGTTACTTCCTATGAGACATATAGAAAACAATCGCTTATCTAAAAACAGTCAAAATAATTACATAAAGTACACCAGGTCGAAACTCTGTTCAGCAGTGGATCCTTTTGGGAATTACAGGGACAGAACTACACAAACAGTATAGAAATTTATTCATGTATGCGACTGCAGTGGCAAGAAGACGTCCCAGCAAAAGAAGAATGGATACCAGTATTTAATGAATATGCAGAAATGGAAAAATAAGAAATTAAGATAACAAACTTTTGATAAAAGAATGGAAATGGTTTATTGAATATTTACAAACTGTAAACAGATAGGAACATTGGCAGGATTATTGTACAGTGGTACCTTGGTTTACAACCATAATCCGTTCCGGAGGTCCGTTTGAAAACCAAAGCAGGTTGTAAGCCAAGGCATGCTTTCGCCAATGGGGCCTCCCCCCCAAATTTATTCGTAATCCCCCAAAAAAAGGGTTGTAATCCAAAAAGCAAGGTACCACTGTAATGATCTGCAGTTTTATAAGAGTATACAGTATATTTAAAGTAGATGAATAAGTGAGCAAATTAAGTTAATTTGGATATGCAGAAAATGTTAAAAATAAATTTAAGGAACCGCAGAAAGAGGGGGAAGGAAGTCAAGTTTTGAAATGTTAAAATGATTGTAAAATTCTTGAAATGTATAAAATTGAAAAGCATAAGTAAAACAACAACAACAACAACAACAACAACAACAACAACAGGTCTTCTTCAGCAGTGGGGCAGCTGCTGGGAAGTCAAGCCTTTAGTCTTTTTAGTTACACCAGCTTTTGCCAGCGTAACTTTTACTGAGTTGCCAGGTCATGTGGCCAAGCAGCAGGGGCTTAGGATCGATCCTAACTTGCCCCTCTCTGGTCCCACCACACACACCCAGAACCACGGGTGCATTCTAGAGCTGCCCAATCAGCATGCAAGGGGACCTTCTCAGCCACCGAGAAGTCGTCTTCTCGCCTCTTTTTCCTAGAAAAAGAGGTGCCGGAACTCACCATGAACGCCTCCCTCGTTCTCTTATCATGGCAATGGCGCCCGCCTGAGAGGTGCCGCAACTGAGTTCCGACTGCAAAAAAGCCCTGTCTATATCTGTCTATAAATATTAGTGGATGGAGAGATAGATACATAGAGTGGGTGGCCGTAGGTGACCTTCTGCCATGGATGCTTTAGTTGGAATTCCTGCATTGCAGGGTGTTGGATTAGACAACTCTTGGGAGTCCCCCTGCAGTTATATGATAGTAGAAGGTGCTTCAGAAGGCAGGGGCGACCCATTGTGTACAATGGAACATTAAGGAAAACACTACTTGAGTCTGTTGTAAACAAAAATCTGCCCCTTTCCCGCTTATGGGGTACCCAAGAGCCCATATAGAGTCCTTATGTAGGTTCCCTCTTGGTAGGAGAAAATAACAGAGGCCAACCAGAGAATATTGAGAAGCAAAGCAGCTAGTAAGCTTGATCTTTATTGATCTGTTGCAACAGGGTCCTCACTCACCACACGCAGGAGGGAGGAGGAACCAGAGCAATGGTGCGTAAGGCCTAATATAGACGTTTTAAATTCCCTGCCCTGGAGCTCAAGACCACCCCTCCATACATCATACATACACCACAGAAGGGGTGTAACCTAAGACCACCCCCCCCAGATACATCATACCTACATCACAGAAAAGGCGGTCCACAGCAGAAATCTGAGTGACTTGTTTATCTCGTCTGACAGGTTACCTGTTTAATGGTCACTTGATTGGATTGCCTGGGGAGCCTGGCCAGTCTTTTGTAATGATAAATACTTAGTTCCTGAGGCAGGTCACAGGCTCTCACCCTATTCATATCTTAAATGTGCCCTTAAGACAGGATTTCTGAAGGAAAAAGACAATGGGGAGGTTTCCCACTTTGACCTTGCAGAGAAATAGAGGTCAATTTGTTCAGGCCTTTTTTTCTGTGGTGTTTTCAGACATGTGGTTTATATATTTATGTACGTGTTTGCTTGGTACATTTATGAACATCTATTACATATCTAAGACCTTAAAATTCTTATCACAAGTCCCTCCAAATGAAGGCGTTGGAGCCCTCCAAATCATTTGGCTGTGTTATTTGCACAGCAGATATTGGCTCTGCCTGAAAGTCAAGACATATAGACCTGCAGTGTTATAGATGGGATCTTGGCAGGTGAAGAAAATGTTTCTGTGAACAGCCCCTGAGATACGCAGAATTGTAGACGGCATCCAGCTTGCATCTCCCTGGGATCTCTGCCCCTGGGCTTTCCTTTTTCCAGACCTCTTCTCCTACTTTGCCTCTCAGCCTTCAATTCCCTCACCACCTCAAACACTGCTTTTCCTTTTTTCTGGCAGCTGCCAGTAGCCCTTTCTGATGTGAGGTTTTCCCAGCAAATTGATGTCCAAAACCCGCACGCCCTGCATTTATAACTAATTTTCTTGCTTAAGTCTGATTTGCATACCCAATGAAAAAGAAACATGTGCGCTGTGCTTCACACATATGTGTATACAGTGGTACCTTGGGTTACATACGCTTCAGGTTACATACGCTTCAGGTTACAGACTCCACTGACCCAGAAATATTACCTCGGGTTAAGAACTTTGCTTCAGGATGAGAACAGAAATCATGCTCCGGCGGCGTGGCGGCAGCAGGAGGCCCCATTAGCTAAAGTGGTGCTTCAGGTTAAGAACAGTTTCAGGTTAAGAACGGACCTCCGGAACGAATTAAGTACTTAACTCAAGGTACCACTGTATTCTCTTTCCTGAAAGGGCTCTCTAGATCAGGTTATCTCTTTGAAGTGTGGCTGCCATCAAGTTAATGGCCAGGACTCCCTTCCTGTGTGGGTCTGATCACGATAAAGTTTCCGTTTTTAGTTTGCATGCTCAATACCTTCTGACAAACCTGCCCACCATGACTTTAGCTGCTCCTTTTAAGAACATAGCAATGGCCTTGCTGGACCAAGGCAATTTTTTTGGACATTTGATATCTCTGGGATGGCCTCCTTTCTGCTTTTGGGTGCATGAACAATCTGTGAAATAAAAGCAGTGAGATGTCTTTGAATATTTTCTTTCAGATGGACCCTAACAGAATTTCGGAAGAAGATACGCATTGTCTGAGAACCTTTCTGAGACTCCAGGGGAATATAGACCTGCAGGAAACAACCTTGGCAAACCAAGAAACAAGGCTGCTGTCTGAATCGTGCAGAAGGATGAAGCAGGCATTTCAAGGAGCAATGCAGAAGGTCAGTGCAGCCCAAAGCTTGCAGGTAGCCAAAGCTTCCACATTAACCCCAGTGCAAAGTGAGTTCCTGGCACCCACAGATCCAAAATGGTCAGTCAGTAGCTGGCTTGCCCTGCTTAGCCAAGAAGCTGATTTCTTCTTGGTGTGACTCCCAATCTGCATTGGGAACGTAATACAGTGGTACCTCAGGTTACATACGCTTCAGGTCACATACGTTTCAGGTTACAGACTCCACTAACCCAGAAATAGTACCTCGGGTTAAGAACTTTGCTTCAGGATGAGAACAGAAATCGTGCTCTGGCAGCACGGCGGCAGCAGGAGGCCCCATTAGCTATAGTGGTGCTTCAGGTTAAGAACAGTTTCAGGTTAAGAACGGACCTCCAGAATGAATTAAGTTCTTAACCCGAGGTACCACTGTACAGTACTGGTTCAGCACCCCAGAGCTGTTTTTCCATCCGAATACAAGTGGCACCCTTAAGCACACTTAAAAAAACCCACACGATTAACCCAACCTGCAGTTTGTTTCTTACCCACAGCTCATTTTACACTTACGGTTGCTTTGGAAAAACTGTTATTCCTGGCATTATGTTCATCTGGGGTATATAACTAATTCTATAATCAATATCAATAACTTATGGTCCACAATTCTTCATTCCCTCTTAGTGGAAAAAGTTTGGAGTTCAGGAGGTACAGAATATAAATTCTGCATGTCCCTCAGCAGAAAGTGCTTGGAGTTTATCCTAGTGGTTAAATGACACAGTAATACCGTATTGGCCTGACTATAAGCCTCACTTCCCCCCCACATTCCGACCTTACGGTATGCAGCCAGGAGTGCGGCAAAGTGGTGTCTGTCCTGCGCATAGGCCCCTGTCCTCTGCGCAGCGCGGCACCCTGCCCCGTATGCAGCCAGGGGCAGCGAGGAATGGAGTGTCTTATATTTGGGTATTTTTTCTTTTCTCTCCCCCCGCCCAATTTTAAAGGTGCGGCTTATATTTGGGTGCGGCTTATATTCAGGCCAATACGGTAGATAAATGACACAGCTCAGGACTGCAATGCCTCAAGGACTTCCTCTCCCCATATAAACTGGGCCCTGCGATCATCATCTGAGGCCCTTCTTTGTGTGCTTCCGCCACGAGAGGGCCGGAGGGTGGCAACACAAGAATGGGCCTTTTCTGTAGTGGCTCCCCATTTGCGGGATGCTCCCCCCAGGGAGCTTCTCCTGGTGCCTTCATTTTTAGGTGCGAGGCGAAAATGTTCCTCTTGTCTGAACCTGGACAAATTATGATAAACTATAGCTGGGGTGGCGCTGTGGGTTAAACCACAGAGCCTAGGGCTTGCTGTAGAGAAGGTTGGCAGTTCGAATCCCAGCGACGGGGTGAGCTCCCATTGCTCAGTCCCTGCTCCTGCCAACCTAGCAGTTCAAAAGCACAAAGTGCAAGTAGATAAATAGGTATCGCTCCGGCGGGAAGGTAAACAGCGTTTCCGTGCGCTGCTCTGGTTCGCCAGAAGCGGCTTAGTCATGCTGGCCACGTGACCCAGAAGCTGTATGCCGGCTCCCTCGGCCAATAAAGCGAGATGAGCGCCGCAACCCCAGAGTCGTCCACGACTGGACCTAATGGTCAGGGGTCCCTTTACCTTTATAGTTTAGAGAGGCTTGTTTCAACAAAGGGATCAGATAGGATGAAGAGCAGGCTAGAAATATATTCAATACATAATTCAGCCGCAGATTACAGTTAACCACGGTTTTTCAAGTTCAGACAAGTTGTGGTTAATCTTAAACAGAAGCAGCGCTTTCTTTCAGCTAGATTTTGCTGGAACTCAGTTCTGGCACCACTCAGGTGGGCGCCATTGCCGTTATAGGAGAATGAGGAAGGTGTTCGTGGTGAGTTCCGGCACCTCTTTTTTCTAGAAAAAAAATAGCACTACATAGAAGTGATAATTTGCAAATTCCTGCAAGAGAAAGAAAAACCAAAATAAGTAATGGTTGATGTTGCTATTATTGTCCTGTTTCTATCTGTAGTTTCAGTTTGCTAAAAATCTAATGAAAATATTTATTTTAAAGTTTCCAACGTCCTTTGCACAGCCACACTGGAGGAGAAGTGAGAAACAGGTGTCTCACTGCAGTTTGTTGTTATAAAGCGGAAACTTTCACTTTTGAGTTGAGCGTTGAATCTGAATGAAGCCAGTGAGGGGTTTTGAAACCTACGTAGGTCTTCCCAGTCTGACCACTAGACCACATGGGCTCTCGTGAAAAGCTGTTGTTGTTTGCAACAAGTCTTTACAATAAAGTGATCCATAAATTGAAAGGACAAAATATAAGCCCAGTTTGTTTGTTTGTTTGTTTGTTTGTTTTTAAACAGTCATGTTTTTATTGTTAAAATAATTCAGCATTAATACACACATATTGCGAATATACAAGCATACATTTCATACAATCCTTAAAAATGTTCAAACATGCCTACACACAATCCCACAGATAATTCCTTTTCCCATCACCATCCACCACCCCTCACCCCACCTTTGTGTTAGACTTCCAATCTACTCAGTTGCAATTTCTTTCCACTTCTATTACTTTCTTTCACACACCTTTAACCTAATTTCATGCCTCTTTTTCTATTACACATTGTTATCCATCTTATTTAGTATTTCAGTATTTAAAACAGAACTTGTTTATTCTAATAGGAGTTCTGATTTTTCAATATGGTTTTGCAAGTATCCTTTAAACACCTTCCAATCCCTGTCTGTCTTCTCTTTTGAGATCCTTCCAATTTCTCCCATTTTTTTTGGATATATTGTAGTACTCCAATAATTTGGCAAGCCACTCTATTTTTGTATAATACCACTTTTCCAATTTTTCGCAATCAATAGCCTTGCGGCTACTGTTGCATATAAATATAATGTCTTCTTCCTTTAGACTTCCTGGCACTATTCCCAATAGAAAACCTTCTGGTATATAAGCCCAGTTTGGATGACCACCCCAAGCTCCATAAATCATAAAGGTTGATGAAACTGGGAAGGAGGCCAAGAACTCCACATTCGCCTTCCCCTCCTCTCCTTGTGTGTTTGCAAGATCTTGCCCAGGGTTCAGAACAAGCATCAGGCGCAAGGAGATTTTGACATGGGCCTTGTGTTCAAAGAAGAGAAGTCAGAGGACATACAGCCCCATTTGAATGCTGTGTGTCTCGATGAACACTGGCTCTCAATTTTCCTTTTGCCTGACTTGAAGACTTAGCAAGTCCTCAGAAACTGAGCACAGTACGCTTGCTTCACATGGAAGTGTCTGGCAGAAAGTGCCAGGCAAATGTCTAAGGGTTGGGTTAGAAGCAAATACCAGAGGGTCTTTAGAGTGTTTGATCTCTTACACATCACTGCGTATTTAGCTCTATTTAAATGTAATTACAATCTAATCTAGAGCCGTTTAAAAGCTGATAGAGTGCTGGCACTTGATATGTTCTGTCTTTTGTAATTGCCCCTTGCGTAGGAAGTAGAAAACTCTTGGTTCGTTTCCTCTTTATTGCCTTTGAGGGATTCTAATGTCCCAACAGTTCTGTTAATAAAAAATACTGCAATAGGTTTTAATTGCCCTAGTTCAAAGTTTAAAGAAAAGCTTTGTCTGAGCTGTGCAGAAGAAAGAGGGCTTAATGTGTAATGTTGTACTGTGGTACCTCGGGTTACAGACGCTTCAGGTTACAGACGCTTCAGGTTACAGACTCCGCTAACCCAGAAATAGTACCTCAGGTTAAGAACTTTGCTTCAGGATGAGAACAGAAATTGCACGGTGGCTGTGGGAGGCCCCATTAGTTAAAGTGGTACCTTAGGTTAAGAACAGTTTCAGGTTAAGAATGGACCTCCAGAAGGAATTAAGTTCTTAACCCAAGGTTAAATTATAAAATTTTGCATGGGTAGGGTAGGCCCTGGTTTTCACATTTTAAAAGGTGTACATAATATACACAACTGAAATACAGTGGTACCTCAGGTTAAGTATTTAATTCGTTCTGGAGGTCCATACTTAACCTGAAACTGTTCTTAACCTGAAGCACCACTGTAGCTAATGGGGCCTCCTGCTGCTGCCGTGCCACCGGAACACGATTTCTGTTCTCATCCTGAAGCAAAGTTCCTAACCTGAAGCACTATTTCTGGGTTAATGGAGTCTGTAACCTGAAGCGTATATAACCTGAAGCGTATGTAACCCAAGGTACCACTGTAATGTGCTGAAGTTGTCTAACTGTTTTCTCAGTGGCATTTGGAGAGGGAATCAATTTAGCCTCAGTGTCCTGGTGAAATGCTGTCTCTGTGCTTTCCACATACAGGTTTTTCAGTTTTCTGAATACAGGTGATTCACAACTTAGGTGCATTTTGCTTGAGCACATTCAGCGTTACATACTTGACCCCCCCAAAGCAAAAAATTTAAAGAGGGGGAGCGGGTGCCTGGGGAGAAAAAGGTTTTGACGATCCCACCTGCCATTGAACCCAATGTGCTTCGACAATACAGTGGTACCTTGGTTTATGAACTTAATCTGTTCCGAAAGTCCGTTCTTAAACCAAAGTGTTCTTAAACCAAGGCTTGCTTTTCCATAGCAGCGGGGGACTCGATTTACAAATGGAACACACTCAACGTGTTCTGCTTCCAAGGCAAAGTTCACAAACCAAAACACCTACTTTGGGTTTGCAGTGTTCTTAATCCAAGTTGTTCATAAACTAAGCTGTTCTTATACCAAGGTACCACTGTACATGATTTTCTCTTTTCCCTGGAACGTGACCCCCATTTTAGTTGAATATATCTCATGCCTTTTCCTTTCCCCCCAAATTTCAAATAATTATGTGTACCTTCAAAGGTAGGAAAACAGGTCAACAACAGTTGCAATCTTGGGCTATGGTTTTTTTCTGTACAACAACATTTTTTTAAAAAAAACATCCTATGTGGCAGGGTATTGGTATAGATCTGTAGGTGCCAGGGGCCTTGCCCCCCCCCAAAGTTTCCAAGAAGGGAGCTGCCCCCCCCCATATCCCATGGTGACGTAAATGCCACACAAGCAAGTGCGGCATGCGCACATGATGTCAGCACATTGCTCCTGTAGATTCAACAAGTGTAAAAGTGAATTTACTCAGGTAACTTCCTTTTGAGACCGCCTGGAAATAAGCCATTTAGGTGCCACAGGGGGATGAAAGGGCAAAGCTCATTTGCAGATTTGTGGGCTTCCTCCCTCTCTCAAGGGCTAAGTGTGAATAGGTGTGGAAAGCTAATCCCCTTTGGGGTAATGAGCTTTAGTACATCAAAAGAGGGACCTTCCCTGGACCAGAATTTAGGAAATCAGAAAATCAGCTGGAGTTAAGAGTGAAGGAAGCAGAGAGGAAACATTATGTTGAGTTGTGCTCTGCAGTGCAAGTTAGGCAGCGGGAGAAAGATGGCGTTAGGCTTATTGTTGCTATGTAATCAGCTGGTTTTTGGGGGATGCTGCTGCTGCGAGCCTCAGTATTCTGCCTAATTCCTGAAGGAAACACTAACCCTGAATAGCGTACCTGCAGCCCCTGGAATCTTGGGGGAGATTGGGGTGGCGTGCAACACTGGTGTCAGAAGTGGGATCTGTGTTTCCGAGCAGAAAAGGCCTGTGAGCATTTGTGAAGTCAAAATGGAGGGAGGAATTGAGGCACTCCTTGAAGAGTTCAGGTTGATGGAGCAGCGGTTGGACCAGCAAAAGAAGCAGCGTTGTGAGCAATTAGCAGTGGTGGCACAGAGGAAGCTGTGGCAGGGCCGGCGGTGGCGCAGTGGAACTGGCAACAGTGGGGACTTGCTTCACCTCGCTTCATGGAAGCCTTGCTAAGGGGGAAGCTTAGTAAATAAAAATGTCCTGGCCTCTTTGTGGTCAACTGCGACAGAGCATTGTCCAAAGTCTGTGGCAGCCGCCTCACGTGGAATGGCTGCCTCTGAACTGGACCCTTCCGGCTTGTTCGGATAGTGACTAAACTCGGAACACCATTTGCAGCCTTTTCAATTCTCTGCTGAAATCTGCAGCTCCAGCTTCCATTTAGACACGTGCAATGTTAGGGTGCCACTTTTCTCACTTGGATCTTGGCCATTGTCCATGAATTTCCCAGCTCCATTCAAACCAAGTAGCAAAATTACATTTTTTGTTCTTGTAGTCTGTTTGTTGATTTCCTACTTGAGGCCTTTGCCACTCCAGAGCTGCAGAACCCCACTCTTAAAAAAGCGGGAGGGCAAGACGGGCAAACAGAAAACTGCGAGACAGTTTGTGGAGTGATACTTTTCTCTGCCCCCGTCCCCTTGGCTGGGCTCCAGACCTCGTCACCTTTGGGAAAACTCAGGCCTGGACTCGTCTTGCGCATGGCAACAAAGCACTCCATCGGCTGGACCTCCAAGGTGGCCTTTCATGAGGAAACGTTGGCGTCTGAGAGAGTGCTTGAGGAAAGTCTGGCCTCGCAGTCCTGGGGCGGAAGGGGAGAAGTTGAAGCAGGGAGCTGAGAGTCAGGGAAGCCCTATGGTTCAAATGCTGCCTCTGCCATGAACTCTGGAGGTGACCGTAAGCAAACCACGTTCTCTTCGGCCCACCCTTCTCTGCAACAAGGGGGTAAAAATACTATCTCACAGAGGCTGTTTTCGTTTTGTTTAGGATTACACAATGTTGTGTAGCATTTGGAAGACTCTGCAAAGCCATCTTCTTTAAAAAAAAAAGAATTTTATTAGTATTTTCCACACAACAACAACAACACGAAAGATATCAAAAAATAATAATATACAACACACAAAAATCAACATTCAAAAACTAAAAAAAACCCAACAAAAACAAATCCATATCTTACAAGTTAATATTATAAACACTAAAACAACAAGAAGACATTGTCTTCCACCAGTCCCACAGCACCTCCTTTATCTCTCATTGTGTCTTCCTGTTTTCCTGTTTTCTTTATCATCTCTATCCTAACATCTAGATATAAATCCTTCTTTCATATCCTTTCACTTCCCAAGGTTATTCCAGACTCAGCCAGATTTCTGCCCTCGAACCTTGACTTTTGAGGTATTCATTTAGGCACTCTGCAAAGCCATCTTCAATGTCGCTGCTGTTTTTGAGTTGGCAATGTGAGGATGCAAAGGGCTTTTTGTAGGGTTAGAATTAAAAACTGTTTGGCATCAGGACAAATGTGACTCGTGTGAATATTCTTCAATGTGCCCATTGCTAGGGCCCACCTAAACTGCAACCTGCAACAGGAACCCCTTGAAATGTTGTAACTATACGTGGAGTGTGTGGCTTCTCATAATTGCAGAATAGAGGGGATTTTGATAGATGCAACTTGTCGTGCAGGAGTGACAGAATCTGGCCTTCTGGAATTCACTATTTGACCCAGTTGTGGATGATGTGACCAGAGGGGTGGGGGCAGACCTCTGTGTTGGATGAAGCCTATAGGACTGCCCCATCTGGTCCACATTCTCCATTCCTCATCTGCCCCCCGCCCCCGTTCAACCTGGCAAATATTGCAAGCCAGTCAGGTATTGGGATATTTTGCTTTCAGTGGACAGTCCCCTTTCCCATGTTGTGCTATTTGTTGTTATAAAGATTCACTGGACCAATTTCTGTGGCTTCGGCATTCTGAACCAGTTTGCTTTCTCTGCAGTTTACTTCCTGAGCTGCAGAGATAGAAACCAGTGAATTTCCTGGAAGATAATGATTGTGATCTTTTCTCTTTCTCGGTGCCTGTTACACAGTCACTTCTAGGCAGCCTATCTGGGTTATGCTCAGATGGTGCTACTGACACTTTCCTTGAAATTAAAACAATGCCCAAACACTTCTTAAAATATTCAAAAGCTTTTCCTTGCAGAACCTATAGCTAAAGAAGAATATGTGCAAAGTACTTATTCACAAAGCAGGGGCTTAGTTTTACTTAGTTGAAGATGACAGCTTCTTTCTTAAACATTCAAACAAACTCTTTCTTTCTTTCTTTCTTTCTTTCTTTCTTTCTTTCTTTCTTTCTTTCTTTCTTTGCACTCAGACCTCTGTACATGACCCAGGCAGGCCATGCAGTTCCTTCTGAGAGGTTTACACTTTCTCCTTCCAGCAGATTTCTCCTTCTTGCTTCTTTGGGAGAACATCAACCTGTACTTCTTTCTGTCACAAGCATTCACACAGAAACATGAGCGCTTCTTTCTGTTGCGTTGAGAGAGAGTTATTGTGGCCGACCTGGCCACAGTGATCCATGCAACGGTCACCTCCAGGCTTGATTACTGTAATTCGCTCTACGCGGGGCTGCCCTTGAAGCTGTCCCAGAAACTCCAGCGGGTAAAGAATGCTGCAGCAAGGCTGCTTATGGGGTCTCTGCGATGGGAGCATATCCACCCAGTGCTTTACCAGCTGCACTGGCTCCCGGTTGGAGTACAGGGGCAGATTTAAGGTGCTGCTTTTGACCTTTAAAGCCCTTCATGGCCTAGGACTCTCGTACCTATGGGACCGCCTCTCCCGGTATGCCCCACGGAGGACCTCAAGGTCCATAAATAGCAACACCCTAGTGGTCCCGGGCCCTAAGGAAGTTAGATTAGCTTCAACCAGAGCCAGGGCCTTTTCAACACTGGCTCCGGCCTGGTGGAACGCTCTGTCTCATGAGACCAGGGCCCTGCAGGATCTGATTTCTTTCCGCAGGGCCTGTAAGACAGAGTTGTTCTGCCTGGCCTTTGGCTTGGAGCCAATTTGATTCCTTCCGCCCCTCTCTCTTTTCCTTTCTCCTCCTGTGATGAGGCTGCATTTTAATGTTTCAATGTTTTAATGTTGCATTTTAATCTTGTTTTTAAGTTGTATTCACTCAACTTGTTTTTATTATTGGTTGTTAGCCGCCCTGAGCCCAGCCTTGGCTGGGGAGGGCAGGGTATAAATAAAAATTATTATTATTATTATTATTATTAAACACTGTCTCTTCTTCAGTGTTCATGGAAATGCAGCCCTTTAGATATTTGAAGATGGCTATCATAGTCTTCTGTTCTCCAGGCTAAACATACCCAGCTCCTTCAGCGGTTGCTCACAAGGCTTAGTTTCCAGACCCTTGTTCGTTTTGGGATGTTCCAGTTTGTCAACACCCTTCTTCAATTGTGGTGCCCAGAACTAGAAGCAGCGTTCCAGGTCCGACCAAGGCAGACTAGAGTGGGACTATTACTTTCCTTGATCGGACACTATACTTCTGTTGATGCAGCCTAGAATAGCATTAGCTTTTTTGCTGCTGCATCACCCTGTGGACTCATGTTAAGCTTGTGGTCTACGAAGACCCCTAGATCTTTTTCACATGTGCTACTGGCAGGCCAGTGTCCCCGATCTTAAATTGTGCAGCTGGTTCTTCCTGTGTAGAACCTTTTATTTTTCCCTATTGAAATTCGTTAACTTTTTCTGCTGCTGCAGTGTGTTAATGTTAGGATCATCCTACTCGCGTGTAGGTCTCTGGCAGAGACGTATGCCCGTCTGGCATGTTCTCTCCCTCCTGGTCGATCGTTCGGGAGCTTCAAAAGCTTTCTCCAGCTTGAACATCACAGTGACTGATACCAAGGGGCATCAACGCACTTAGGATCCTGCAGAGTATTTGTAGTTTGTGTAACAGACTCAATAGCTCAGCATTTTGGCTAATCTACTTTTATTTACATATAATACAGTCACAGCATTCTGACTTAGCTCCTTCCTCTTTCTCATCAGACAGCAAAGAGAAAAAACAAAGGACAATAGTCCCACATCATGGAACATAGTAACATAAACATCCTGTCTCTGTCACTTCCCACACTGTGGAATGAAAACATACACCGTCATGTGATAGACAACAATCCCATGACTGCAAGCACGGAGCAAGAATCCTAACAGTTAAGCCATGCAAATTCAGCTTCACGCCTTTAACAAAAACCAAGATATGAGTCAACATCCCCAATCAGCCGCGGCAAACATAATTATATGTCCACGTATGAACTGCAAGAGGCAACATGATAGCTTGGCCGGGAGGTGGGTTCAAATGGTCTCCACCCCCATCACTCAGTCCAGACACTGAGGTCCAGCTCCAAGGGCCTTCTGGCAGTTCCCTCACTGCGAGAAGTGAGGTTACAGGGAACCAGGCAGAGGGCCTTCTTGGTAGTGGCGCCCTCCCATCAGATGTCAAGGAAATAAACAACTATCGGACTTTTAGAAGACATCTGAAGGCAGCCCAGTTTAGGGATGTTTTTAATGTTTGATGTTTTATCATGCTTTTAATATTCTGTTGGGAGCTGTCCAGAGTGGCTGGGGAAACTTATGAAGAATGTGATTTGTGGGTGCCATTTTTGCTAAACTCTTGTTAATTTTAACAATGGTTAATTAAAGCAAGCCAGCTTAATAAATGATGGTTTGAATTAGTCCCAAATCTGTCCACGTTCAGACAGCACTGCAGGCTGCAGTTCATCTAAAACGCTAAGTAGAAAGTTTCAAACTCCTCCTTGCAGCCATGGCAAAGAAGGAGAGGGAACCTTATGAACCTACAGATTTGCTACAGCTCTTTTTTGAAACACTAAACACTATGGTTTAAGCTTACAGCATTACATACAAATTAGCTCAAAGTGGGCAAAGCAATTTGCGATCTTGCTGCCACTTTAACTAGATGGTGTGGTTTGCAAACTGTCACAAACTTCAGCATCTCTTAGTTTTTCAGGATTTGTGAGCGTGCGACAAATTTAGCTGTAGCTTCACTATGCAAAATTAAGTTTGTTTCTTCCATTTTTAGGAAGTCCAGCGTATTATTATTGGTAAGGATCAGTCAAGATCAGATAAATGTAAGTATGACAGTGGCTTCATTACTTGATATTATTTAAATCTTATGAGATTTTTCTGTGGTGATTTTAACAAGATGTCTTGCTTTTAGCTACAATGGGAGCATCGTGGCTAGATTTGCCCAAGAAAAACAAGCCTGACAAAGCACCCCTTGCCCATCTCATAATCGATGGCAATAAAATTCCAGCTGGTAAGCTCCTTTTTCATCTTGTTTCTATCAATATTATGCTGTCTGAATTGGGCCAGTTTACGTTATTGTGCAAAACCGTGGTTAAGAAAACTCAACTATGGTGTGGTGTGATGCCTGAATTGATAAACCATTGTTTGAAGTTGGCTGGCAAAGTAGAATCTGCTCATGATTTGAAGTTGGCTTGAAAACCTTGGTTTGCATTAACTGTAGCTTCATGGGAAATCCAAATTGACAAACCATTTTAATGGCAATTGTCTCCTTTCATTGCCTAGTATGGTGAACTGAGCAGATGGAAAATGAAACGAGACAAGCAGCTCTAACCTGTTGTTTTATCTGTAAATTTGGGAGGCCAAGCCGCAGGTTGAATTGAACTAGGGTTTATGCAAACAATTGGTTCACTGTAGCTGAAGTTGAGCCAATATATAAAGAAGTATGAAAATAGATACTTTAAACTTCTAAATTAAGCTTTCATTAAGTCCAAACTGTCGTGGAGTTTTTGTAAGATGGCAAAACTTCTGTGAGGCCTCCTGATTTCAGATCTCCCTCACCCCCAGTAAGGCATGTAATTATTCAACTTTGCATAAAGTTGGTTAAAATCTTGCAGTGGAAATTCTGGAAAGCAAGGAAGCATTGGTCAGCAGTGGTCATGACCACAATTCATGAAATATTCCAAGCTAATATGATAGTTGATCCACAAGCATGTCTCCTAAATTATGTCAATAATTTGTAGGGCTAGAATATAAGGGCATATTTCCCATTATCTGGGGTTATCTTGGCTCTTGGGGTGTTTCCAGAATAGAGGATGAAAAAGGAAATGTTTTAAAATGGTCTTTCCCTTTTAATGCAGACTTCTGTTGAGTAAATTGCATTGTTAATTATATGGTGGCTTCTGTTGATTAAATTGTAAGTTATGTTACACTTCCTTCAACAACGTCAAAATACATATACGTTCAGTTCAGGTAGTATGAATGTTCACTTAAAAGGTAAGGTAAAAAAGGTAAAGGACCCCTGGACGGTTACGTCCAGTCAAAGGTGACTATGAGGTTGTGGCTCTCATCTCGCTTCAGGCCGAGGGAGCCGGTGTTTGTCCACAGACAGCTTTCCGGGTCATGTGGCCAGCATGACTAAACCGCTTCTGGTGCAACGGAACACCGTGATGGAAACCAGAGCGTACAGAAACACCGTTTACTTAAAATGAATTGATGATTAATTGGCTAAAATCAGATGACAGTTATGATTCTGTTCTGACCACTTCCTTCTGTCCAAGTGGAATCCAATATTCTTAGCCACACTTCACTGAATGGATAGCCTAATACTGTGGAAAACCTATAATCTGTATAATCTGCTCTCTGTGCACACATCCCATTTTGAAACAGCTGGGGAACATAGTAACCCTTCGGCTGGGGCCAAGAGCTGAGCATCTCTGTTCATGACTAGAGCCATCATGGGTGTCGTTAAATGACCATCTGAGTTTGCTTCCCCAGACATAGCTAGAAGAGTCATCGAATCATAGACTTGAGGAGTTGGAATGAGACCAGAAAAAATGAGGAAATTAATTTAAGAGAGATTTAAGAGTATAGTCAAGTTGAAGGCTCTGGACATTACACATTAAAAAGCTTCTCTATGCAGGGCTGCCTTAATAACAGTAAAACCAATTCATGGCTGCAAAAACAATATATTATCCACCTGTGACATTAAACTTAAAATAAGATACACATTTTCTTATCTGTTTCCCTCATAGGTACCAAAAAAGTGAACCTTACATCTTGGCATCACGACAAAGGCTGGGCAAACATACGGAATATGACATTCAGTGATGGGAAATTGGAAGTCAATCATGATGGCTTTTATTATCTGTACACCAATGTATGCTTTAGACACCATGAAGCTTTGGGAAACCTAACTGGACAAATTCTGCAGCTGATGGTATATGTCATAAAAACAGATGCTAAAAGGAGAAACCCTGTAGTTTTGATGAAAGGAGGAAGTACAAAGAATTGGTCAGGAGACTCAGAATTTCATTTTTATTCTGTAAATGTAGGAGGGTTTTTCAAACTGAAATCTGGTGAAATAATAAGTATCCAAGTATCATACCCGTCATTACTGGATCGCTCTCCGGAAGGAACTTACTTTGGGGCCTTTAAAATAAGGGATATCGATTGAGTTTTGCTACAGGATTTTTCAGAGGGGAAGTAGCCTATTCATTCAGCTGGACCAGATTATGGGAGATGTGATGGAACGGCTTTTAGGATCCAATTGTACAGGAACGATCATTTCTTCCTAGACCAGGGTAGTCAGTGTGGCGCTCTCCATCTTTTCTCGGACCACAACTCCCATAACTGCTGGCCATTGGAGAGGCTGACTAGGGCTTGATGGGAGTTGTACCCCGAGAATATCCGGTGAGCACCGCATTGGCTATCCTTGTTGCAGACAGTCTTCTCTACAGCTCAATTGCACTTAGGATAGTTCATTTTCCAATGCTTAATTTGAAATTTATTTGTGAAGATCTGGGTTATGGATTTGGGATATGTGGATATAAATTGGCATCAGTCCATAATAGCATCTAAACTATTTTTTTAGAGACGTACTTCAAAATCCAAGCACGCTTTTCGTGATGCTCAAGAAACAAAAGGTGGAATCCGGACTAAGTTAGTTGCATGCAAGTTCCATTGAAATCGATAATGAAAAGTCCCATTTATTTTGGGGGAACTAAATGCAACTAACTTACAAAACCATCCTGTACATATCTACTCAGAAGTAAATCCCAAGGAGTTCAATGGGGTTTACTCCTAGGTAAGTGTGTAAAGGATTCCAGCTTTCATTTTGATGGAAGATTTAGAAGTGTGGATTTTTAACATTTGGTTTGTTTTGCATGTTTGGTCTGCAAAGCAACATGTGCACTGATGGCACTTTTAAATAAACATTAGTACTATTTCCCCCCCATAACCAAAGCATTTGAAAAGCCAATTTTATTTTGCCCAGTTTAAAAGTCTCTCTAGACCTGGATTCAGGGGAAATGTTAGAATCTTTAATTAAAAATAGAATTGCCACTTCTCCTTGTTTGTTTTCCAAATGATGAAAATATTTGTTCTTCTGCAGGCAGAATTGCATCTTGTGTGTGTTGTATTTTGTACCTATGTGCCTTAATTGGTTTTCATTTTGTTCCACTCCCCCCAACCCGCTCTGGCCAAGGGATATGCCGCCAAAGGTTCCAGTGTTGTACATTTTGAAACTTCTGGCACTGAAGTTGTTCCTGACTTGCATGTTGCCACATGCGTTTTCTCCTGCAATGTAAGAGTGCTTTTACTGTTGTGATGGAAGACCAGCAATGAAAAAGGGAGAAGCTATTGCTTATCTAGGTGACACTGGAAGTGTGGTGTGATTGACTATTCGACAATGCAGTGATAATGAGGACTAACTCACATCTCATTTTTTAAAAGGTTACATATATCTACCAAGAGTTTAAGTGCCTTTCTAAACATACCGTATCTTTCTGTCTATAAGACGCCCCCATGTATAAGACGCCCCCTATTTTTGGAGACTCAGATTTAAGAAAATGGGGGGGGGGGATTTGTATCCATGTATAAGACGCCCCCTAATTTTTGAGGGGGAAAAGCTAGTCTTATACACAGAAAAATACGGTAGTTGAGTTGGATCCAGACTAAAGTTAGTTGAACTTTGACGCCATTGAAATCAGTGGAAAACGTTAATCATAACTTCAGTCCCATTGATTCTGGTAGGAATTAAATTCAGCTAATTTAATCTTGATGTAACCTGTAATGTCTAGAAACACATTTAACCTACAGATCCTCTCATCAAAGATCCAGGGTTGTCAATGTGTCTCAACCTGTGTTTGCTGCCTTGAAATGCGTAAGGCGTAGTCAGTGCGCTGAGCAAAGGCTTTTCGGAAAACAGCAACTTTCGGAAAACAGCAACGAGCTGTTCAATGATGTAACGGCAGACCCAAGAAATGTCCCCACTTGGCGTGTTAAGAGGTGCTAATAAAATATAGTTAGGTGTGGGATGGTGTTGATTGTTCCTTACAAGAAGTAATCTTTAAAGCAGCGGTTCTCAACCTGTGAGTCCCCAGATGTTGTTGGACTACAACTCCCATCATCCCTGAGCTCTGGCCTTGCTAGCTAGGGGTGATGGGAGTTGTAGTTCATCAACATCTGGGGACCCAAGGTTGAGAAAGGCTGCTTTAAAGCATGAAGCATTTGACATGAGTCCATCAAAATGAATTCAGCATGCTTTCTTTAAAAAAAAACTTAAATTGCTCAATAGGAGCTAGAGCATAGGTGGGCAACTAGTTTGAATGCTGGGACCATCTCTCCCTGTTTTCTAAGCTTCCAGCCTTCTTTGTATGTCACAACCAACCTCCCTGAAATTTCACATGCTTTCAGTACAAAACACCTTCCCTTCTGTGTGCCACCGTGTCTCGTGTGAGGCTTGCTACAGAAAGGGTGCAGAATTACTAAGCGCTGGAATTATGCTGGCTTGGTTTATGTGCAGCAACCAAGCCTCAGGTTCATACACCCCCACCTGCCCTTCACATATAAGAGAAGGAGATTTAAAGCTTCAGTGCTTTGACTAGAACATGGAGTTTGTAAACCTGGTCTTCTTAACTCAGTGCAGGAGCTTTTGATCTGTGTTCCTGGAGATGTGTGTCCCTTCTTCCCTGCAATCATGCCACGAAAAAGGTTCCATGCACAATATACTGTATTTTTCGCCCCATAAGATGTACCTGACCATAAGATGCACCTAGTTTTTAGAGGAGGAAAACAAGAAAAAAAATATTCTGAACGAAACCGTGGATGTATGATTTTTGTGGTTCATGCTGTGGCCACGGACATGTGATTTGACGGTGAGTTTGGGGTAGCCCAATGCAAAAATCCTGAGAATCCATGTGGATCTGTGGTTTGTAACCACGTTTTTTGCCATTGCGGCCCCACAAAACAGTGGATGTGTGGTTTTTTTGGTGCAGGCTGTAGCCATGGACATGCTATGTGATCTGATGGTGAATTTGGGGTGACCCAATGCAAAAATCCTGAGGATCCATGGGCTTTTACCTCCCCCCTCCTAGGCAGCCTCCTTTATCGCTTATCTCCCTCCGACCAGCTGCTTCCTTTCAACACTCCCTTCCCTCTTGTTTGCCTTAGTGTCTTTTCCTTAGCTGGAGCAGTTTTTTGCTCCTCCTCTTCTAATTTCTCTCCTTGCAAGTTTGCAGTCTATACCTCCCCCCTCCTAGGCAGCCTCCTTTATCTCTAGCGTCCCTTATCTCCCTCCCTGATCACTTGCCGATTAGCGGCTTCGTTTCAACACCTACTTCCCTCTTTCAAAAGAAAGTGAGCATGATCTGCTTTTCTCCCCTGGGCAATTCGGCTCCAGGGACCACACATTCGCTCCATAAGACGCACAGACATTTCCCCTTACATTTTAGGAAGAAAAAAGTGTGTCTTGCCATTGTACAAGAAAGGATAGGAGTCCCACACATTGAGCATTGAGCCTTTTTAATTTGAAAGGAAGTCCTGCCAATGGATTCCCAGTGTCATGCAGAACTTGCAAATACATAAGTTCCAAAAAAAAAGGCAAAATGGGTATTTTTATATTCTGTAATATCAAGTTATATTTCAGGTGTATGTTTTGTTTGAAAAAAATCTGTAATTTATATTTGTCCTAAAGTATTTGATACAAAATATTTAAAAACTTACTGTATGTGTATTTAATGTTTGAAAATTGTACAGACATGGATAACTGGTGCACTTTTTTAATCCCGTTGGGGGAAAACTGCAGCTAATATGATCATTTGCTACTAGCAAATGTGATGTTTCTTGGTGTTTTATTAATTTAACAGCTTCTCTTCGATCTGATCAGTGTTACTGAGCAGTCAAGGGCCAAGTATCATTAGACAACTGTTGATAATTTTAGGTACTTTTCACATCTCCAAAAAGTCTTTATTCTAGCAAAGTCCTTCCATGTCATGTTGAAATTCTTGAGGGGGGAAAGTTGGGTTCTTTCAGGAAGGACTGAGAAATGGCAGCAATATTTTCAAGATTGTGCCTTTGAATTAGATTAACACCATGCCGCTGGGAATATGGAAAAGTATACAGCAGACAAAGAGATTTGTTAAGAGTATTTATGTAATTGTTCAACAGACATTTTATCCTATTGCAAATGTTGCAATACTGTAAATGCTGTAATAGATTTTTGCAATACAAACCTTTTCCAATAAATACATAGAGGCCCATGTTACTATTATTTTATATTGTATAATAAGCATTGCTTTTGAATGCTATGACTTTTTTTATAAACACATTTCTAAGAAAAAGAGTTTGTGGTTTGCATTTCTCTTCTGCCCCCACATCCTTTCTCTGTAGATTTCTTATCTTAGTACTAGCACTATACCATGTTGGAGCAAAGATTTATAACAAATGTGATTGCTATTAGTTTGAGACATATGGAATGCAAATTCTGTTAACTGTGAGCAGCGTAAATTCAAATAATGCCAAACCTACACAACTAGTCCTGCTGTCTTTAGGTTAGTGGCTAGCTGAGCAAATTATGGCAGAGTATCTTCAGCAGAGTTGGGGGTCAGGAACTGAATACTATCTGAGTCAGGAATCCCTCAGCTACAACTGAGATCTGCTGTATCCTAAGCTCCTCGCCTGGTGGATCTTGCCATAGGATTGCTCCCTACATGACTACATTATTAAGTGGGATGATAAAGCAAGGATTTTGTTCTCAAGAAATGCACTTCAGGAATTGAACAGTGTAATGAAAATTCATTTTTTTCAGGTGGTGGGTCTTTCCCATTTGAGATATGTTTATGTGTTTTTGCTCCATTTTTTGGTCAGTTACACCATGTGTACAGTCAATCTCCCTCTCTGCATTTTGGCAACTGCATCATAGTTTGGGTAATGGCTCAAAGAAGGAAACTAGAGGGTCTAAATTGGAAAAACAACAACAACAATTTACACACTGTTATCTGCTCGTGAGATTATTCCTTTTTTGGCATTTCAGCAAATTTTGCTACAAAAATAATATGTCAAACTTCGGAAATCAGTAATTAAACCAAATTGAATTATCTTAGATAGACTGTGGCTTGGGTGTGTGTATTGGACCATGCAAAACAAGGGAAAATGAAAATTCAATCTAGCATTTTCTGTTTGTGTCTATATGAGAGACACAGGGTTTTTTTTTTAATAGCTGTAGGTCATCTTAGGTTAGGAAGGAATGAAATTTGGTCAAGTGTGGGCTGGCTACCAACATGAGACAGTCTGTATCAACAATGGGAACGGGATAGTTACCAAAAGAGCAGCAAGACCTTCGGGCTCCCATTTTCCTTTCCTGGAGAGAGGACAAAAAACAAAGGTTTGTAAGCCACTTAAATAAGCAGACTGAAGAATGTGCTATGAAATGTCTTCCATTTGAGTGTAATTGTAATTGTAGCTGGCACTCTGGCCATCCTTTTATTGAACAGTCTACAGAAGTCTGAAATGGAGTAGCTATATTTTGTACGTTGGGAAAGTTGAGTCACTTTTCCTAAAATGTATACTGGGCATGCCCCCAGCCATACTTAAGCACATTTAGATGTAATTACTTTGAATGGGAGAATGAGGGAGCAATCTCACGCACAAGAAGCTGACGTAAAGCAAGCTAGCGTAACTGAAGCTGGCGTAAAGTTGCACCGGATCCAAACCCTGTTCAGCAGCGGGGCTGTTGCTCCTGCTTTGCCTAAGCCTGGCGGAAGGAAAACAGCCTTTGAAATAGTGTTCTACATCAGGTTGCCAGATCATGTGACTGAGCTGAGCATGCTTAGGATCCCACCTAAGTACCACTCCCAAAACACTCCTTTCAGACCCCCCAAGTGTCCCTATTTTTCAGGGACAGTTCTGGATTTATACAAGGCACCCCCGTTTCCGATTTGATCTGCTTTTCCTTAAAGGCAAAGGTAAAGGGACCCCTGATCATTAGGTCCAGTCATGACCAACTCTGGGGTTGCGGCGCTCATCTCGCTTTATTGGCCAAGGGAGCCGGCATACAGCTTCTGGGTCATGTGGCCAGCATGACTAAGCTGCTTCTGGCGAACCAGAGCAGCGCACGGAAACGCCGTTTACCTTCCCGCCGGAGCATTACCTATTGATCTACTTGCACTTTGACGTGCTTTCGAACTGCTAGGTTGGCAGGAGCAGGGACTGAGCAACGGGAGCTCACCCCGTCACGGGGATTCGAACCACCGACCTTCTGATCAGCAAGTCCTAGGCTCTGCAGTTTAACCCACAGTGCCACCCATGTCCCTTGCTTTTCCTTAGGACATTCCTATTTTCATCGGAGAGATTTTGGAGGGTATGGAGTTATCCAACCCCCCTAGCCATCTGAAGGTCGCCCTGTATAGGGAAGTTTTTTAAAATGTGCAATGCTTTATTATGTTTTTATATAGGTTGGAAGCCACCCAGAGTGACTGGGGCAACCCAGTCAGATGGGAGGGGATAAATAGTAAACATACGGTTATGGAATAGGACGTCTCTATTTTCATTGGAGAAATGCTGGGGGGTTTGTGGGGTGCTTACACCAGTCTTGGCTCAGCCAGGATGAACAAGTTACGTTGGTGTATCTTCTGTTGATAATAATATTAATTTTTTGTTTATACCCCGCCCTCCCCAGCCAGAGCCGGGCTCAGGGCTGCTAACACCAGTAAAATTACAATAAAAACATAATAGGGGAGGGGGGGGAAAAAGCAATTTAAAATACAGGTTAAAAATACAATTTAAAATGCAGCCTCATTTTAATAATAGCCCATAGATCAAAACCATAAGTGGAGGGAAACATAAGGGTCAGACTGAGTCCAAACCAAAGGCCAGGCGGAACAGCTCTGTCTTGCAGGCCCTGCGGAAAGATGTCAAGTCCCACAGGGCCTTGGTCTCTTGTGACAGAGTGTTCCACCAAGTCGGGGCCAGTACTGAAAAGGCCCTGGCCCTAGTGGAGACCAATCTAACCACCTTGCGACTTGGGACCTCCAAAATGTTGTCATTTGTGGACCTTAAGGTCCTCCACGGGGCATACCAGGAGCCAGGATGTTGAGCCAGGATTGGAGACTTAATGCTGACACACAAAGTATTATTATTTTGAAATCAAGACTCTTTGCACTCTGCTCTGCTCCCCCTTTCTTCCTGGCCAGGGTGGCCCTGCAGCTACGAGCTGTCCAAGGGAGGAGGACGGCAGCAGCAGCCATGGAGAGGCAATGGGATGCTCCCTAAGCAGCCATTGCCTCAGTCGCCCAGGACAAGCAGTGGCACTGGCGGAGGAAATAGGAACATTCCGGGATCAAATCAGAAGCCAGGGTTGCTTTCATAATTCTGGGACTATCTTGGCAAATAGGGACACTTGAAGTTATGGAGAATGTCCTCTCCAGTCCTCTTTTGCACTCTATGCAGGAAGGCAGAGATATTTTGAGGGGCGGGGAAGCAGTGTTCACAACACAGTGCTTCTCACATGGGTTGATATTTCCTGTTTAGGGCTTCCATTGAAACGGTATCTGCCAATTGCATGCCCATCTGACTCAAAGCTATGAGTTCTCAAGCTGAAGAACACAATACCTGAGAAAACTGATGGTTGGGAGAAAACGAGGGAAGATACTGAAAGTTCCCGGAGGCAGTTTTAGGAATGCTGGGGGTGGGGGGCAGATCCCACTCCAGGGTTATTTGAGGGACCTGTAAATGATCTGGTAATTTAACCAGAGCCACTAGCAGTCTGAGGTTTTGTGAAGATAAACACATTATTTACCTGTATATAACTGTTGTCCTGCAGGATTTGAGCTCAACTGTAAATTTAGTTTGAATAAAAATACTTCCCCTCACTACTATCATTTTCTTGCTTTGGCCTTCACGTGCTGAAGCACTTGCTGATTTTGTCTTCAGCAGCTGACCCTATAAAATACTTTATCTGTAGTGGTACCTCCCCTGTCTCTGCTGGGCTTGCCTCCCATACTGAACACCACAAAATTGAGACATATGATTGCTTCTACCCACATCCTTTCAATTAAAACTCCCTACTGGACAGCTCTTTCAAACATTCCCGCCCCCGGTCCCATGTATACTTCAGCTGCAATCATGTGCACATCGTAAAGGTAAAGGGACCCCTGACCATTAGGTCCAGTCGTGACCGACTCGGGTTGTGGTGCTCATCTCGCTTTATTGGCTGAGGGAGCCGGCGTACAGCTTCCGGGACGTGTGGCCAGCATGACTAAGCTGCTTCTGGCAAACCAGAGCAGCGCACGGAAACGCCGTTTACCTTCCCGCCGGAGCGGTACCTATTTATCTACTTGCACTTTGATGTGCTTTCGAACTCCTAGGTTGGCAGGGGCTGGGACTGAGCAACGGGAGCTCACCTCCGTCGCAGGGATTCGAACCGCTGACCTGATCGGCAAGCCCTAGGCTCTGTGGTTTAGACCACAGCGCCACCCGCGTCCCGTGCACATCTTGTTTCAGCTCAAACCTTGCAAATCTTGCAGGCTGAACAGAATGACTTCCCTGCAAGGGAATCCTTTGCCCCAAACGTTTCTCATAAGAGCTTGGCCATAGAAGAGGCTGCGTCCCTACAGCTCAAGAGTGTTTCCCTGCTTCTGGGATCCACTGTGGGTTTCAAAGGGTGACAGCACTCCCCTCTCAGCCCCAGGATTGGTGGAACCCAGGAAGAACCTGTCATTAGCGAGTTGCATACGGAGGGAGACAATGTAATTACAGTGGGCAGAGTTTGGGGGTGATTCAGACATCTGTGACCTTTATGGAGAAAAATTTGAATGCAATTTGATTCTTCTGACCTGCTTTTAGTTTATATTGTGGTCAACGTCTTTCTAAAATGAAGTAATAGCTGCCAACACTATCCCCCAGTCGATCTAATTGTGCATTTTCCAGGGAAGGCTGTGAATACAGCCTGCCTGCCTGCCTGCCTGCAGACTGGTGTGAAGACGCAGCAAAGGACATGCATCAGCAATGCCTGGCACAGGGAGATGGTGACAGTTGTCTTATTTCTGCAGCCACAGGGTGCTGCTTTGCAGCGAGTCAGACCACCATGGTCCATCCAGGGCAGTGTTTTCTACCCTGAGTGGCAGAAACTCCCCAGGGGGGTAAGATGGGAGTCTCCCCCAGCCCTCCCTGAAAACATCAGGAACTGAACCCGGGGCCTCTCACATGCAAAAAAACCCCCTTTAAGGGCTGTCGCTACCTAAGTATCTAAAGTCTATGTGGGAAGATGATGGAGGGTCTTCTCTGGTGGTTTTTTTTTTGGCATTTTAATCTTTATTGGTTTTTGGAATACATC